CTAGAAATTCGCTATCTTTCGTAATATTTCAAAGACACTGATAATACACAGTGATTATACACGTTATAAGTTATTAACTTGTATAAAAATTTCTTGAATTGATATTTTTTCTTTTTGCTATATTCATGTTCCCGCGCTTACATGTCCATTCTTCTTTTTATCATCTTTCAACAAATAATTTAAGATTGTAATTAGTAAATTTATTTTTTAAAGAATAATTAATATCTTAAAACAATTCTTCAAATATCTTAAAACAATCGAATAAATAGATACTTATATATAATACTTTATGAATTCATCCTATAAATATTTTGAACTTATTCTTAATCTACTTACTTTCTTAATGTTTTTTTTTTTTTCAGAGATTCAAACTTTAAGTATATATAGATACAAAGGAAAAATTTAAAAGAAAATTAAGAAATAATGAATTAATTTCGAAAATGATATACTAATAACAAAAGGAGATTATAATAATAACAAAAGAAACAAAGAAATTTGTCTGAATGATATTTTTGTTGATAAAAGTTAAAAATATAAGCATTTTATAACTCTTTCATCATTATAAATTATCCCCTTAACGAGTTATTAAACAAATTATGTTTAACGGCTAAAAATTGTTAAAATGTGAGGAGAACTTCATTTTCATCATTGCCAATATAATTCGATTTATCTGAAAATTATATAGAATTACAATTAGGGATTAAAAATATTGTAATTTAATCTGCTGTAAAAAGGAGAAAATAAAAAAAGTATGCAGATAAAAGGATGAAGATAGTACTTTAAATAAAAAAAATTGCATAAGAGATATAATCTATGTGAAAAATTTTTTTTTATAATAATATATTTTATAAAATTTGATAAAGCGAAATTGAAATATAAAATAAAGTATAAAATAGAAATAGAAAATGAAAATATGTAGAATAGCATCAAAAATTTTTTTTTTAAAGAATTGGCAAATATTTGTTAAAAATATTGAAGTTTTGACGTGAATAATTTTTATATTTGCATTAAAAAATTATTTCAAAATTTAAAGAGCAAAAAAAAAAAAATGAATCAAAAGTTCTGTGATTGAAGTAATTTATTTCAAGTTATATTTTTGTTTCACCTAACTTTCCTTCTTTTAAAATAATCTCTAGGCAAGCGAAAATTTATGATAAGGAGTTTAAGAAAATCAAATCTAACCAAGATCGTATAAAAATAATTTTGTACAATTTCAAAGAATATTATCAAAAAAATGATATTAAATTTTTTTATTAAAAATATTCGAAGTAATTCGATTTTATATGATTAAACACTTATTAAGAATAATCATTATAATAATCGTTATCAAATATTATTATCAAGTCAGATAAATTTTAATCAACTGATAATTTTGATATATTCACAAATGATTCTCGCGAAGTTCATTCTTCGTAATATTCGAGAATGTTATTAAGTGAAACCAGAACCATTCTCGAAGAAGTTATTAACACGGGTTATTCGATAATTAAAGGAAATGAGAGAAAAGTAGGAAAGTGAAAACAAAAACGAAAGTGTGAACTGCAATGTGCAAGAAAAAAAGTGAGTGTGCTTCTATCAGTAAGAAAAACATAAGAGAAACACGGTAACGATGACGGAAGGCGGACCTAACATAAGCGTGAGTAAAAGATAATTTCACTTTACGCAACATGCTCGATAGAGTTAGATTATCACAATTTATGCAATTGCCAAGATTATGTATTTTCCCTACCTTTTATTTTTTTATATTATCTACGTTTAATTCCTGTCTTCTCAATTTTTCCTTTCTTCCTGCGATTATCCTTTATCTTTATTTACAGATTTTTATAGAAATTTTTTTTTCTTTTTACGCATCATTCCTTCACTAAGCTTCCGCTTATAGATTCTGAAAGTCTTCCTTCTTTCAGTTTTTCTCTCTTATGCGTTTCTTTCTTCTTTTGTCTATCTACTTTCTCACAGTGTTTCTTCCTCTGAATCTCTTCTCAGTCCTCTGTGTCTCCTTATCAGTGAATTCTCGTTTCCTTAGCCTTCCTATCTGGATCTCCTGTACATCTTTCTTTTCCCTTAAAGTTCTCTGGTTTTAAAAGCTTTCCCCGTACGATCTTTTTTCTCATACTTTGAAAAGATTCAAATTGAATAATTAAAAGGACGAAGGTGATACCGTTTCATTTATCATGGAATTAACAATTATTGTTATCCTGTAAACAAAGGATTGAATTCTGTCAATTTTGTATTTAATAAATTTAATTTAAATACAATAAATAATTTATAAATTTATTTATGAAATTAATTGTAATATTTTTAAATATTTTATCTATTCATGATTGTTATTTTATAACAATCTGGTTTTATTCACAAATATTTGATTTTGGAATTAATTAACGTTAATGTGACGTTAATAGATAAACAAATTTTATTTAATATAAGAGGAGATAATTAAAAAACAGTGACTTTTTTACAATTTGTATCATTTCAATGTTTCAATTAACGAAGTTAAAAAAAAAAAATAATGTCGCGCTTATTGCACGATAACGGGAGCCAGCGTTTTCATTTAAGAATTTATGGAGGATGGTGGGTGGTGCTTTAATCTTGGACGAGGATGAACGGTTTTAAACGGAAGGCCGAAGTGTCTCTTAACAATTTCAATGATATTACACAGATCGTTATATACACTTTTGCCCTGAACTTATGGCGTTATTAAATTGAGAAAATGACTTTAGTAATTCTCCAACGTGGGTACAACGTTTATCTGGATACCGATCATCCGGATTTTTGTCTTATCTGATAAATTAAAAGCCGGATAACCTTGAGATATCTTCATTGAATTTTTAAATACCAAAGAATTAGTGATTTATTCGTTTATCGGATTCCTCTTCTTTGTTTCATGTTATTTTGTCTTCTTTCTTCTTTTAGAATTTAGAATTGTTACAATTACTAATGGATTCTCTTGAGTTTAACTGGAGAATCGAGTTTGGGTCATTAACATTTTTCCCTTGCTCATTTATTATTCATTCAAGGAGACTGCTTAAACTATGTGAATCACTACATTCTTTTTTTTATATAAAGTATTCTTCACATTTGTTATTAAACAATACTAACTTGATTTCTGTGAAATTAATATTATTGAAAAAAAATATTATTAATATTGAATATAATATAATATAGATAATTAAATGAATAGTTTAAAAAATATTGTAAATAATGCTAAAGTATAATACTTCATTTGTTTCCAATATGTAATATATGCATATGAATGGAATTAAAGCTTAATTTTTAAACTTTTAAATTTTGATTATTTAACCATTGCTTCCTTCGACCATATCCTTCGTTTGTTTGATATCCAATGTTTCTACTTGGATAAATTTTTAATCACATTTTAGTCTACTATAGAATCAATCTATACTTCTGATCTATAAAATCAATATGTATTATACTATTATTATTTCTTGTACGTTTTATTAAAATTTCCTATATTGCAATATATGGATATCTATTTAAACTTTACATTTTAATTTAAATGTTGCTTGTATTATTCTCGAAAGAAACTGTACTTTTCACAAAAGTTTGAATTTTGTTCCTACGTTTTCGGTTTTTACGAGTATTGAAGTTTTGGAAGTTGGCTTTCGCCACCAATTGTCCCTTGAGTCCGACTTCTTGTAGACAGTATGTGGACTTTGTGGCTAGTCAGTTGGTCACTAGTGGTTACTTTCTCCAAAATCGTTTCTGGTGACTATCTAAACCATTGTAGATGTTTCTGAGGATTCTCTTCCAGTTTCAACTATTTCTGTGTCCATCATTAGTGGGAAATAATCTTTCACGGGCAAGTATCTTGGTATGCTGGAGGTATGCTGCTTTGGGATGATGGAATTGGAACTAGAAAAATTTCCACAATGAAGAGAATGAAATGCGATATTGGAGGAAAAATATGAGATAGAAAACAAAGGATACCAAAAAAGTTTTGGAAATTAAAAAGTATAAAAATAGTAAAATAGATATTGCAGTGATATAAGATAGAAAAAAGGATATCAAAGGAGAAGTTTACAAGAATAAAAAATGTAATTGCAATTTTGGTAAAAAGGAATTTTGTGGAATTAAAGGAACAATATGCCAAGCAAAGAGAAAAATAGGAAGGCAGAAAGAAACGAAAACGAGGGATATCCCAGGATCAAACAAAAACATCAAATAAAAATCAGAAGAATGACAGTTTGAGGTGACATAAGATAAAATTAAATTATAAAACGTACTTGTCGATGTGAAAATTGATGACATGCGAATACACTACTAGTAATACAGTAAATGCGTATATCCAAAATGTTAAAAGCTAAAACAAACGCAAAAATTAGTACGTAAAAAACGTCACTCAAGGCTTATTTATAAGCTATAAGCTATTTAGCGCATCGTATGAGCAAGAAATTAGAATGAAACTGTTTATACTCGCTTCATTTAACAGAAATTTTAATTGCTTATAATTTAATAAATAATTCTTAAGTGACGTTTTTATATATTAACTTTTACATTTATTTCGATCTCTAGAATTAGCCCTTTAAAGGTGTTTCATGAATATGTTAACATATGTACTAATATTCATACATATACACATATTTATGAACACGTTTAATATGTGCACGTACGTATACATCATTTCAATATAAACGCTCTTGAACTATAAATGCAACGAGGGAAACTTCATGGCGGAAACATGAATATCGTAAATTAGTATTTTGTTGTTGATCTGTTGCAAACATGTGTTTAATGTATTTTTATATTAATCCATATATTAACTAAAAAAATAATAAATATTGTTTTAACAAATTCAAACATACATATTGATAAAATTGATATTTCTTAAAATATTTACCAAATATATATTCAAAAAACAGAGAAATTCCATTCGAGAAACTTAAGAATTCACGTTTCACCAAGGACAAAGAATGTAACAGTAAGAATGTTAAGGACACGATGATAATGATCAATGATATCGTGGATCCGTGAATTCGTTTTTCGGATTAATTAAAAATGAGAGCGATTCGGTGCTCGAAACTTAAAACGAATCTGGAAACACGTAATTATAATTATGAGGGAACGTAACGGCCCAGTTTTCCAACAACAGGAGTTTTCATTAGGGGACAAACAGTATTCCGAGCCATTCATTATCGCTTTATCTAAACCTCGTAACAGTTCGAGAGCACTTCGCAGTGTGTGCTCTCTTGCACAATAGAACTAGTACGCAATTAGCCAAGTGTCGCTCTAATAAGGATTTGTAGGATAGGTTGGGTCAAGCTAAATCGGCTTGTTTACCGTTAAACAGCTGGACAGACCGTCCGGATTCGTGTTTCGACTGGTGAATGTCGCAGAGTTCGCATTATGATGAACAGTGATTCGTTTCTGGTGCTCGAAATTAGTTTATCCTGGAGAAACCGTCGGAAAAGTTAGCTAATTTCCAGTGGTCTCCTAAACTGAGAACTTTAACTCCTTCTCAATTCATTTTGGAAATAATTATTTGTTGTCGTTGTTTGCATCGTTCATCGTTTCCTCCGATCTTGTTTTTCAGAAATACGCCACATAAAAACCTTGAAAAAGTTTAAAAATGTTTCTTTAGTTTTGCAATTTGAAAGACTATAGATAAGGGATGATTTAATAATAGAAAAAAATCACTTACCAGAATGTTTTTTGAATATAAATATTAATTAATTTTTATTTTATAACAATATACATTTAAGTTTGTGTTCCGACTTCAAATTCATTTTAATTTGTATTATTTTATCGATCCATTATTATATATAGTATTTAAAATATAAATAAAAAGTTAATTTTAATTGTTTTTACTTTCTTTTTTTCTATATTTTAAATTAAAAATAATTTAAATTGAAAAAGAAATATTAGAAGAATGGAAACGTTAATTGCTACACACTACGCAGTGAGAATTATAATTTAAAAACTTGCGAAATTTCGATGTTTCGTCTTATTTTCCGGTTAATTCAACAGCAACCAGGTTAACCATAACTCGTGAATCCAGGATTAAAATACGTAGGAAGTTTCGTAAAACTCGACCGATTATGAAAAGAAATTTCCATTATAAATTCTGTTTATCTTAACTTTCGAGTTATTCCACTAATGTTTGTTCCCTCGTTATATTGGAATATTGGTTAGATTATTTCTTCCTCAGTTTTTCCTCGAATCTTTTATTTTGTTCATCTTGTAACTGTTTCGTATCTGAAATAGACATCAATTATGATAAGTACTTACTAAAGCAACGTATTTCTTGTAATTTGTAAAAGCACGAGAGAGATATGTTTTATGAATTTCTCTTAGCTTGATTTTCGGCGACGTAGCATCTCCGCAAGGAGGTAAGTACCGAATGTTTTTGCACATGGAACCGGTATGGCACAGTCGGTAACAAAGCTGTCATCAACCGACCGAGTTGAAATCTTGTCGTTTCGAGCGTTTGAAGTTAACTCGCGTCACAAGCAGACTTCGTACTTTCATCTTCCTCGAGTTTAACGTCTTGTGTAGTTTCACAAGTTGACTCTTGTTGCTTGCCTATGTATCTGGTTTAGTTGAGACCTGGATTGAGTTGAAAAGAGATACAGTCTACTCTTACTGGATCGTCTTATCGGTAAAATAATTGAAATAGCGGGTTGAATCGTGAATTTCCAGTTAGAGGACGATTAACAGAAACATTTACACTTGTTAGATACAATAATCTCGTCTTTCTATAGGATCTAATGGGTTCAGAACGAATGCTTTGTCTCGAAAAAGAGATTTCACGGAAGGCAAATCTCATCAAGGGCAATTACAAAGTAAAAGTGTAGAAGTAATAGAGGATGAAGTCGAAGGTACCAATAACGTTTCCTGGAAAGTTTTTGGTTGAAATTGAATGTCTCGAATATACATGAAATTCGATATTCCTGTGCATATCTACTAGTAAGAGTGATCTTACTTATCTTATACGTAAAGTTGTATCTATTATATACAAATTATTTAAAGATAATTTTTCACGAAAAATAAAAAAAACAATTTATAAACGATAATAATAATTGGGGATCAAATGTAAAGGTAATAATTAGAAATTAGAAATTAAAAAAAAATAAAGAAAAAACGTCATCAATCAATAATCTTCAAACTTAAAATCCTTTAATATAAGATATATGCAATATTCTCGTCAATTTTTTTTTAAAATCTTATTTTTAAGGTCAACCCGATATTGAATAGAGACACCGCTCTACGTGTACACACAATACGTATACGCGTGCCACTATTTCTTCGAATTTTGGAATTCGTCCAAATTGGATCTCGCGTATTTAGTGAAACGAGCATGGCTCCGGAAGGAATTCGTAGGTACGCGCTTACACGTACATTGATAACAAAGTGTATGTATATTGTGAACCGGGTCTGTCTACAATAACCGCGAAAACGAATGGCGATCCAGCTGTTTTCTTCTCGCCAACGCGTCGCGACCGTTCCTTCTCTCGTCCACTACGTGGTTTCGACCCTCCTTTCCGCGACGATCTCTGTCCAACCACGATGTAATTCCGAGTTATTCCATGTATTCCATCGAATTACGCATTTGCTACACTTTCTTGTAATAATCCGGTCGAATCACTTTTGTTGTTGGAACATCGGCCAAGTAATTCCTGAACGAACCACTGCTATCCACAAGAGGAAAAAAGGACGAGCGAGCGATTTTGTTGATGGGGATCCACGGAATGAAGAATTGTGTTATCGCAAATTATTATATTTCTGGCGATGAAGTTTAATATAAAATTTGCTTCCTTTTTTCTTATCTTATCGAGTTTTTTGCTTTATTTTTGAAATATAGACAGTACAAACGAAACTGTATTTATATTTTTTACATTAATCATCTTTTAAATTTGGTCTTTGAATTCGTTTCGTCCGTTTACAGATATATGAATATAATTTTCCTCGAAAATTTACGAAATGGTTTAAATTTTTGCTTCTTTTTTAAGGTTAATTCGCTCTTCTGATAACAAAATGATTGGAAATTGGAAACGATATTGAATATCGTTTAGCTTATACGTAATCCTCTTTTCAAATATTTGTTTTATCTATAATTAAATACAAAATCTAAAAGGCTTATATAAACATCTGGTGTCGTAACGAGAAAACAATGGCAAAGAGAAAATTTACTCATAAAATGAGCATGATAATTATACGGATGCTGGGGAGACGATTATCGTAGCCTTAAATTGATTCGTATAATATTGGAAACCGATGAGTAAAAAATATATTTGCGCTCATCCTTTGTATAACTGACCTAATTCTATATCCAGTTCACAATACGAGTCGATACGGGATGAAAGAAGAAAGGAACGAAATAAAATTATACGCGGTCGCTGATACTTGATTATTTATATCTTTTATTTATATTCTTTATTATTCTTGGCTGGCACGTATACGTTCCGACTTTGGATTATCTTCTCTTTTCGAAATGAATCTTTTATTCCGTTTTTTTCCACGATGGTTTATCCTTTGTACTATCTTGTCTCATACGTCATCTAACCATTCTCTCCGCCATTCTAATCATCTATTATTTCTCTGACATTCTTTGCACGATTATTCCTTTCGTTCTTTCATTCTCTTGCGATCGAAAGAACTTCTAATATTTTTCTATTTTATTAGGCAACCAAGAAAAATTCTTCTTCTCTAAAAGTAAAATAAAGAATCATCTACAGAACACTGCTTTCTATAAACAAATTGCAAATGATGAAACTTAAAATTGACGATATGGATATATTTATTGTATATTCATTTTCAATTTGAATTTTATTTCCAAAAAAGTTCTACCACAAGATTCATAAATGAAATATAAATCTTATCTCGAGTCTAGCCAATTATCCTCAAAATTAATGATAGCGCGTTTAGGAAAAGATTTTCATTTCTATAAATCGTAAAATTTACGATCTATAATGAATAAGAATTTTTTTTTTACATTCCTTTTTTTAATAAAAAAACAACAACAAAATTTAATAAAACGAATTAGACGATTCGTATCTTATCCTATCTATCGAAACATCTTTCCACCTCTTTTCTTCCCCTTTAAAGTATAACCGAGATAACCATATAGCCGAGTCTGCACGATACACATTGCCTTCAAAGATTTAGACGGAGTCAGCGTTTTTCGCCGAAGCGCCGCATCATAAAACTCGGGGGTTACTTTGCCCTGGGGGCCCTCATTTAACTTCTCATAGAGCAATCGGGCAATTTGAACGTAATAAAAAAACTTTCCGTCCAACTTGTGAAAGTGAAACGGGTGCTAACTGGAACGCCAGAGTTTGGACCGGGGGAGGGGGAAAAAAAGTAGAAAAGATGGAGGAAGAAAGGAATTGGATCGTGATCGCAAAGGGGAAGTATCGAGCAGACGTGGACGTCAATGGCGAAGCTCGAGACAAAACTGTAAAGGATTAATGGCACAGAGGCGATAATAAACCGCGATTTGAAATCGTATTGTCGTTTCCACGGCTGGAACACGATAAATTCTAGGCAGGCTCGTTGCTGCTTCTTTTTTTTTTTTTTTTTTGCTTAAAGCCAAGAGCCTCGTCGAAGAAAAATGGCTTGCTGCTTGCAACATGACGTAAAAGAGCGACTTAATCCCATAATATCTGTGGCGAACTCTGGTTGAAAATTAATCTTGTAAGTAATTAGCGACCCTTGAATGAAATGAACGATGAGAAAGGGGGTTTTAAACAGATTATCGAATGTTATTATTCGTTCGAAAAGTTGAAAAATCTTGGAATTCAATGTAAGATGGAATATTCATATCGCTCTGCTTTGATCATATATGCTGTGTGTTTTTTGGACAGTTAATTTTTAACTTGAATCGTTGTTGAATCGTATTGGTGAAATTTTTTGATAAGACATAAAATATTTGTCGAAAATTGCAGAGAGATATTCGTGTCTCTTTGATATCGATTAGGAAACGTGTTCGATCGTAGATAATTCCGTTAAGCGTTGCCTTTTCCTTTTCGTTCCTTTTTTCAAAGTTTCGATAAAAATATTTCGTCTCGATTCGAATTAATTATTGATCATTCTGTGGAAATTAAGAGTTTCTTTCTTATATGTCATTGTTCGCAAACTAGTATTTCGATTTCGATCTTTCTTTATCGATCGAGTTCGATTCAGTCGCATGCGAAACTTGTTTGCATAAAATCGGATCGAATCGAGATGATAACATGATTGAACGATTCGAGTGTAAACGAATGAAATTGAAACGGAACAACAAACTTGAAGCAGCCGTTCAGCAACACTGTAATCCGCCGCGAATAGAAGCAATTTAGCATAAACAATCTCGTGAAAACTAACCCACCTGTGCTGTGACATCGGTTTTAAAAAGATTTTAATTAGAGAACCATTTTATACGCGTTGTTAATCGGATTTAGAGAAAAAATTCGAACATTTAATTTTTAAAAATGATTAAATTAAAATTTAGATAAAAAAAAAAACAACTCAACTTCGAAAGTTCAGATTTGAAATTCAAATAAAAAGCCCGGTTAAAATTTTACGATTTTTCCGTTCGCGTATAAAATTTCATTCGTTGTAACTAATCGATCGATTTTGCACTATTCATGTATTTTTCGCCGGAAGCGTCAGATTCATCCATGATTGTAGAAAAAAATTATGTTGAATCAAGTTGAAAGGAAAATTATTCTTTCGTCGAATATTCGTACACAGAAGCGGTTCGTAACTATACGCGGTTGGAAATCGGAACGAATAAAATCAAACGAAAAGCTATTCGAGTATTTTCTATGCTTCGAACATGGTTACGAATATACGTTCTGCCTTCCCTTCTTGTTGAAAATTTTACCTTGTTCGATAACTTGTTTAATTAGCAAACGGAGAAGGGACGAGAAATAAATATAAAAAAGTTAATTAATGAATTCTAACTAACGAATGTTTGAAAAAAATCGTGCATTAAATTAATTCATGATGGCGTCAGCTTTTAAATGATCGTTTCTCTCGTATGCATTACCTTTGAAAAGAGAAAAATGTCCGTTTTAAAACAACCCGAGAAATGTTCGAAACGAGTCGATGTATCGATTCGATTTATTCGATTTCATAAACGAGGTTTTTATGAGGCTTCGACTTATAAAAATATTTGCCTCTACAAAAACATTCCTCTCGCACGATTCCTTTTTATCTCGATTCATTTCATTTCGATTCGATTCCATTACAAAATTCATGCTTTGTTATTTGAAAAGAAAAGAAAATTATTGATTTTAAATAACACATGCAACAATGTTACCTGAAAACTTTGAAAGTTTTGTATTTTTATAATAATTTTGCTTCAGGAATATGTTCAAAGAATTTTAAGTAAAAATTCTTGCATAATTATTAAACAATAATGCAAGAATAGCATTTTCTCTTTTATTGTTATGAAAAAAAATAACAAAAATGTATCTTGAAATATGACAAGATTTCACAATTAGTTATTTTGTTTTTAATAATATGTATATGGAATTTTGCAATCGTTGTAAAACGTTAGCTTTAACGAATATTTTCAAAAAGATAAATATATAATATGCATACGCGTGTAATATTTATAAGTATAGTTTGCGTAGAAACGATTGTTAATAGTTTCTGTTAAATTTATCGATGAAAACGCTGAAATTTATAAAACTTTTGAACACATCCATTACGATGAAAGCAACGACAATTTTGTTGTAACCAGTCACATTGTAAATCGTCGAAATCGTATGAGTTTCGTTTGAAACATTTATTTCTATTGAAACACTGAAAAGTGGCAATCATGTAGCACTTTTCACTCTTTTTTTCTAGTCTATTTTCTAATCTATATAGAAATATTTCCATAAGTTAGTGAAAGAGTTTCTAGTTCTATTTTTTATATATATATATATATTTTTTTTTTACCATTTGCATGCGTAATTTTCTCAAAAAGAGGTGTCGTAGTGATAAAATGTCTCGTGAAAAATACTTGACTGCGCGTGCATTGCGAATTTTTCACATTGATATATGTGCGATATATCAAATAGAAAGAGAAAAGCACGTCATGTTGATTCGTAAAAATTACGTTTTCGAGTCAACCGTTTTGTCAATGTGAACGCAAATGGTACAAAGTCTATACATACACTGCGAAATATCTGATAGAGTAATTCTGTTATCTTATATTTGAATTTTTATTCTCGAGATGGAAAACTTTGTAAGAAAAGAGTAAACAGCTGTCTGGATTGCTCTAGAATATTAATTACGCAACAGAATTTATTCTCTTAGACAGTTGCAACGTGATAAGATCGTAAAATTAAAACTCGAGAAGTTCGAGTAACGTGCCCACTTGCATAAAATTAAAATGTAATTTTAATTTTTTTATAAAGATTATATTCACAATGAGATTTATTATTTTTATTTCACGTTTCTCTTCAAAGAGAAAATTACAACATCGCCACATTTTTTTTTTAATCTAGGAAGGATTCACATATTTCTTTAATCTACGTTCAAAATTAAAATTCTACTTACGATGTAGCTCATTTACTAGAACGCGCAATTTTCGCGCGATTTAACGTTTCATTATACATTTTAATTGCGCGTTTTGCCAGTATTTATTCCATCACATTGTCACCATATTGTTTTGTGTATAGTCGATATCTACTTCATGAAAACAGGCTTCTTCTATCGGCAGAAATGTAACAACAATGCATGTAACCGCATGGACAAACGTACTCGTTGCGAAATGGAACAATGATCCGTGAAACGTTCAACCGGAATTGATTGCAATGTCCATTCTACGGACTACGATTTCCGTATGAACCGATGAAAATTCACAAGAGAAAATTGACAAGATTCTATTGGTGTGGCAGTGACATGTTGCACATGGTGAAACTTCTCCTTTCTACGGGATTCAAGCGCGACGATTTGGCCGAAGTAAGCCGAATACAGCCGAATATTACCGAACAACAACTCGCATGAGAAAGACTGAGAAAGAAGGAGTCGCGCGATACTTACAGACGTGTGATCGTATGCGCGTATTCGATCGCTAGTTTTTTCTATCGAAAAATTAATCGCGACCGATTTTTAACGAGTTGATTCGTTTCTATCGAGAAATACGAAATTTGTGTCAAGCTGGATTAATCAAGAACATATTGAACATCGTGGATGCCGTTTCCAGTCCGGTATCTTCGACACGTGAGCGTTCACTTTTCTTACTTTCTACGAAAATGCGGCTTTGTGCTCTTGCTGTCAATTCACCTTCTCTCGCAGATCGCATTGAGGTTGGGTTTCGTATTGGATCGATTTAATAGGACGAGGTTATCCACATGTTCGTATGTCCTGTTCAAGACTTGTTCGTTTCTGTCATATCAGGTATTTACGAAATGAGATAATTTGCTGGTTTGGTTAATGATTCTTTCGACATTTTTATGGCGGTTATTCGAGACATTCGAGCATAATTCGAAGCGAATCTTTGTTGAGCTTTTTGCTAATTTAACTTAGTAAATACGAAATGATTGAAATTCATGTTTCCAAGAAAAAATTATTGCTTAATTAGAATTTTTTCGTGTCATAATTTTATACGGAATTTGAACATTATTTTTGTACGTTAGAAAATTTCATATCGAAGTATTAATACGCATGCGTGGTCGCCATATCTTTTGATCGACTGATTGAACCGGACAGTAAAGAATAATGAAAAAAATAACGAATATTAGAAATGATAAGCAAACCAGATATTTCTTACGCTTCTTATCAAACATCAGAATACAAATAACGAATATATTATTTTCTGTTTCGCTTGTTGGGAATTTTTTTAAACTTGTTGCCATTGTTGAATCATTCTCTCAAATAATTATAGAGAATAATTTAACGCTGTACACAATGTTATTAAGAATTGTGTTCTGTTTGAGGTGGGAAATTGTTGAATGAATCGTTTGAGACGATAAACGATAAGCTTCAAAGCTGTAGAATAAAAGATTGTTTTAATTTCGTTTCCAGCTTTGTTTGAGTTTGATTGCTCAGTTTCACTGAGAACGATTCAAATTGTTCATACGTTTCTTTTTTTTTTCAGACTACAATCATTATTGAGTGACTCGTCGGATTGCATCCTTTTTCGGTCTCTATTGAGGCGAACGCTTCCGCAATTTTTCATTTCGTTTCTCTCTGTTATTTGACATTCTGCGATTTCTTACGGTAAAAAATATTATTTTTAGAATTCTTAAATTTACCTTGACTTACTAGAATTTAATTTCTACTTTTCCCTTTTGAAGAATTCCTTAATTTTATTCTGTAACAGTTGCCACGAGCTTAAATTACTCTCTAACTGCTGTGTGCTTTATGTGACGTCAAAAGCCGCAGGACAAAGCTATGTATATCACCCAGGAAACAACGGCTTCAATCTCTTGGATTAATTAGAAAGCTTAATTTTTCATTTTTGAAATCTCGCCCAATTTATACGAATTATTTGTAAATTGAACAGCTAAGATATAAAATTTTCACTCTTTCCATAATTTAAACAGTAAGTTTTTCCTTTTTCTGAAATTTTATAATTAATTAATAATTCTTATTACTCTTGTACGATTTCTTTGAATCTATTTCCATTTGTTTCTCTTTTTTTTATCTTGATAAATCAATAGGGGGGAAATGTGTTTTAAAGCGTTAAACTGATGTCTACGTTTGATTAATAAATGATGGCTCTACCGCTGAATGCTTTTCATACCCTTGACACCGAATTCAATAAAACGATTACATGGAAACAAGGCGTAAACGTGAATGGAGGGAAAATACGCGAAACACTCGCATTCCAGTGAGACAGCATGTAAATTCAATTGATAATCACGCTATGGGAAATTGTGTCTCCGTGAAACAAGAGTTTTTACACTTGTTGACAATTCGATTTGCAATTGTACAAAAAAAAAAAAAAATGAAACACAGTCTCTCTCTGTGCCTCATTTCCATACCACTATCTTATGGACGAAAAACTCGAATGTTTTTAAAATTCGTTAATTTACGACTCGTCGGCTACAATTTCGTTCGTTTCGTTAATTCGAGGTACAGGTATCAGTTTTTGAGAAAGTTGCGGTCGCCTGAAATTAACTCGAAAAACAGTTGAACAGTTGATCCATCGCGATGCATAAAAAGCAAACTGTCATAACCTAAAATTTTTGTATCGATATTGCAAATCGAATTCAGATGCTATTATGTAGAATATTGTCGAGATTTTACGAGGTTATACTAGGAATAATCGTGGAACGAACGTGGTTGCAACGATTATGCAACGACATTGGAAAACAGGTTTTGTGTTCGAACTGGTTGTACTCGTCAGGGTCGAATTAATAGATTGGGCAATGTGCGTGAAAGTCGCCAAGGTTGAGACGTTAACAAAATGTTTACAACTCGGCGATGCACCGAGTTGAAAGATTGTCGCAATCTATTCCCCTATTATTAGTCTATCCTTTTATTGATGATATCTTGTGGAGGAAAAAAATGCAGAAGGAAAATTGCATTGACATTAGAGGCAATTCAATTCTATGGTAATTCGCACTCGCCTTAAAGGATAACTTACGCAATTTATATTAACGATCCCGTCCATGATTATCGTAATTTATGATTTTCTTCTTCTAATGTGTAATAATTATTTTTTAATCCGCGGTATATTTCATTTAAATTTCATACGCCTCTCATCATCTTTTAACGTTTCATTGAAATTTCACGCGTATTTGGAATTAAATATATCCCGAAATTACCATTTAATTGAAATAGATAATAGAATAGATTAGAATTCTAATGTAGCATACACAAGACTTTTCACTTTTAACATTGTCATTATCAGATCGAATAATTAACCATTACTAAACAAGGTTCCCTTTAAGCTACGTAATTATCCCTGGTTACCGATATCGAGCAAAATTATATCCGTTATTATACACCATAATGTTTAATGATTAATTAATACAGCGGACCAGTGCATAATTGCAATTGCAAGTATCATATCCTAAAGAGTGTATACAGTAATTATCGTGTGATAATCGTGTGTACGATATATCGATGTATCAATGATCGAACGAATTTTTGCTTGCTAAAAAATGATTTAAATCCTTCTTCTTCGTCGTGCATTTACCGCCAATTCTTCGGAGATATTCTGCCGACAAACGATCGATCCGTTCGAAATCAATTACCGATCGAGAACATTTTCACGAAACTTTCACAATGGTCCGATTGAACGAGCCGATTCGGTGTGAAAGGGGCATTAAAGTCTCTCTTCTTTAGGAAGGGTGGGCGCATCTCTCTTCGCATCTTTATTCGCTTGGCTGGCTTTCACTTTAGGGAGATAGGCATACTTAATTGCATCCTTTCTCTTCGCGATGCTGAATACCGAACTACCTACTTAACCGTTCTTAATATCCCAGTTTCACGTGCGTCGTGACTCATCAGCTGATCTTTTCAAATTCGCACGGTGAAATTTGCCTCAGCTCCTCCAGCTTCGTAACGCGTATCCTTAACACAATCATCTTTCCTCCTCGGTGAAACTCGTGTTATAATGGCTGTTTCTCAATTAATTCTTTCAAGAAATTCGTCCTAACATTTGAACTCTCGACAGTTTTAGTAAGAAAGTATCTTCGATGCCTGGAAATACGTGCGCTTTCTTGAAGTTTACATCTTAATTTCCATCTATTTGAATTCTTTTTTAAATTTACACGAGACTCAATTATCACTCAAAAATCCATTCCAAATCTGTCAAAAAAATTCCTCGAGTATTCCAATTCATGAATAACTAAGTTTTTAAACACCCGAGTATCCATCTTTTTGAATATTTAAAAAAAATAGTAGAACGCTTATCCGCGCGCGCGATTCATTTTCGAAATAAAATTTCCCAACGTTTCTCCCTGCTCTATTTACTTTTCAACGGCGCGAATATATATATATATATATATATATATATATATTCTGAACGA